AATATATATATTTTTTTAATATTTACATTTTATTCATGTTTCTCAATACTTATTTATTTTTTTTATATATGTACATATTATATCGTGTATTATCGTATATATTATTATGTCTTGTTTTTCCTTTCTAGCAAAATTAACATTTAAATGAAATTATGTAATATCTTTTATCAGAAAAATCGTCTTTCACGGCATTGAATTTTCAATCTTTGTTTTAATGCATTTGTAACGTATTATAATGCCTTACGCGTTACAAAAATATTCGAGCGGCGTGCTCAAACCGACAATTTGAGGATCGCAATATCCGGTTGAAAATCGTTAATGCTTGTTTAACACACATTAAAAGAGAGCCCATCCGTTTACGCTTTCGGTTTGTATATAATAGCGCTCTCTCGGCATTTTAACGGAACGGTAACGCGCATATTATGAGATCGGCACGGAAATATCTTGCACCTGAGATATATACCCGCATCTAACGGAGGCGTTCATCCGTTTTACAGAGAGAAATGGACAGGGACCATAGAGAACAACGCAATCATGACAATCTGAATGAGGAGTTGGATTGCAAAGTTGGAATGGATTTCCGCAATCTCTCTCATCAGCACGATCGTATGTCGGACATCGATACTGAGGTTCATTGTTTATAATAAATTTTATCTTCAGTAATTACTTTTAAGCAAACAGTAATTGGAATTCATATTGGAAAATTATCAATTATTTTAACTCTTTTTTTAATCCAAAATTCAATAAAGAATATGCATACATTAACTTTAAAATTGCTATTCTGTTACAGAGAGACATGGACATTGATCCGGCTGATCGCATTGACTTGCACGACGACAAGCCCGAGAAATTAGGGAGAAATTTTCATAATATAGGGCATCACCCAGCTATGGTGAGATTTTTAAAAAATAAGAAACAATAACACAGAGCTAATAATTTTTTCTGTAATAAAGAAGAAATTTTGCGTATTTATTCAATGAAATATTGATTTTTACGTTTATTTTTATAGAGGGATGTAGATAGGGATCAAAATAATCACATTGACAATATACACGATGATAAAATGGACCACAAGATAGGAAGAGATTTCCGCAATCTGGGTCATCATCCTGGAATGGTTCATTTGCATCCCGGCATGGAGCATTTGAGTAACGATGTACGTATCGATGTCGAGGTAAATATCTATCATTGCATTGCATTAATTTGTTTTAAATGTTATTTTCATTTCTTTCAACGTTTTCTTATAGGTGAAGTTAGCGAGAGATGTTCGTGGCTCGTTAGGTTTAGGACTATCCTTAGAACTCTGTGTAGTTTGTGGAGATAGAGCTAGCGGCAGGCACTACGGAGCGATTAGTTGCGAGGGTTGCAAGGGCTTTTTTAAACGCAGCATCCGCAAGCAACTGGGCTATCAGTGCAGGGGAAGCAAGAGTTGTGAAGTTACCAAACACCATAGAAATCGTTGTCAATACTGTAGGCTTCAGAAATGTTTGGCTATGGGCATGAGAAGTGACTGTAAGTGAAATTGATTCATTCTTGTATGATCATATTTCCTGAGATTTATTATAGTAGATAATCGACATTAATGATTCTATATGATGTGTTGCAGCTGTCCAACATGAGAGAAAACCCGTATTAGGTGAATCGGCCGCGACAAAAGTAGGTAACCGTAGCACCAGAGTAAAACCGGAACCGCAACAACCCACGCCCGAGCTACCCCCAGCTTGGGAACAACCCGAGAGTCCTAGCATGGAAGATCAAAGTAGCGATAGCGATCTCAGTGATGCTTTAACCTTAGCACGCGAGCGTTTACTCATCTCCCATGCATTGGACAGTATGGCTAAACTCATTGGTGATGTAAGTCTCGTGATTATGCTTGATCTTACATGTCTTGGAATTATCTTTTTATGTAAGTATACTTTTAATGCACTGTAATATTTATTTGCAGACCGTTAATGGTTCGAGCGAACCAGAAGAAGAATGGACTGGTCAATTAATTTCTGAACGGAATACATTGTTCGAATTGAGAGCGCCCAGCCCGGCACCCGTATATTTATCTATTCATTACATATGCGAAAGCGCGGCTAGGTTACTATTTTTGTCTGTACATTGGGCGCGAGGAATTCCAGCATTTCAAGCTTTGCCGTAAGTGTAATATATTTTATATACATTAATACGATACATTTATGTGTATAAGAGAATAGTATATTTACTATATTATATCTCAATCAACATCTCAATAACATTATCTAAAATAAAATTATTTGTTTTTGTTTTAGATCTGAAATTCAAACCACTTTAGTGCGAAGTTCCTGGGGACAATTATTTACACTAGGTCTAGCACAATGCGCATACACACTGTCTCTTCCTAGTATTTTAACGTCGATAATCAATCACTTGCAAGCTAGTATCGCACAAGAGAAGGTCACAGCTGGCAAAGTAAAGTGTGTTACGGAACATATATGTAGATTACAGGATTGTGTAAGTTCACTGCACAAGTTGCAAGTGGATTCCGTTGAATACGCTTATCTTAAGGCTTTAACACTTTTTAGCGCTGGTAAGTAAATTTAATTTAGACAAACAATAAAGTTTATCTGTTCATATATATCGAAGTAAAGAATATTTTTTTATCTTTTTTAGATAATATTCTAGCAGGTAGCTGGCGTAAAAAGGTTGAAGTTCTGCAAGAAGCAGCGTGGACGGAATTACAACAACGCGCGGGCTCAGATAGATTACCTCGTCTTCTCTTGAGGCTAGCGCCTCTCCGCTCGATTAATCCTAGAGTTCTGGAAGATCTTTTCTTCGCAGGCCTCATCGGTCGAGTAAGTGTAGCTAGCGTCGTGCCTTACATCCTTACCATGCAAGATTATAAAGCCGAGTCGGAAAGTCATGCGGGGTGACGAATACTGTCAGTGCAATGTAAGTCGTGACCTAAGATAGTGATGTATACATAAATGTTGGATGCCTTGAACATTTTCATACAACGAGATGAAAGTGCAAGAGACATGTGAGGAGTTAAAATCATTTTTTCTCCTTTTTTTAAATGTCTCTGCACAAAGATATAAGAATATGATTATTAAACGCGCGCATAAGTTCAAATTGATTAACGATATATGTGGATTATTATAGTATAACAACTATACATATATATATATA